AGTGGCATGTATATAATATGATAGTGGTGTTGGTGGTAGATAGTGGCATGTATATAATATGATAGTGGTGTTGGTGGTAGATAGTGGCATGTATATAATATGATAGTGGTGTTGGTGGTAGATAGTGGCATGTATATAATATGATAGTGGTGTTGGTGGTAGATAGTGGCATGTATATAATATGATAGTGGTGTTGGTGGTAGATAGTGGCATGTATATAATATGATAGTGGTGTTGGTGGTAGATAGTGGCATGTATATAATATGATAGTGGTGTTGGTGGTAGATAGTGGCATGTATATAATATGATAGTGGTGTTGGTGGTAGATAGTGGCATGTATATAATATGATAGTGGTGTTGGTGGTAGATAGTGGCATGTATATAATATGATAGTGGTGTTGGTGGTAGATAGTGGCATGTATATAATATGATAGTGGTGTTGGTGGTAGATAGTGGCATGTATATAATATGATAGTGGTGTTGGTGGTAGATAGTGGCATGTATATAATATGATAGTGGTGTTGGTGGTAGATAGTGGCATGTATATAATATGATAGTGGTGTTGGTGGTAGATAGTGGCATGTATATAATATGATAGTGGTGTTGGTGGTAGATAGTGGCATGTATATAATATGATAGTGGTGTTGGTGGTAGATAGTGGCATGTATATAATATGATAGTGGTGTTGGTGGTAGATAGTGGCATGTATATAATATGATAGTGGTGTTGGTGGTAGATAGTGGCATGTATATAATATGATAGTGGTGTTGGTGGTAGATAGTGGCATGTATATAATATGATAGTGGTGTTGGTGGTAGATAGTGGCATGTATATAATATGATAGTGGTGTTGGTGGTAGATAGTGGCATGTATATAATATGATAGTGGTGTTGGTGGTAGATAGTGGCATGTATATAATATGATAGTGGTGTTGGTGGTAGATAGTGGCATGTATATAATATGATAGTGGTGTTGGTGGTAGATAGTGGCATGTATATAATATGATAGTGGTGTTGGTGGTAGATAGTGGCATGTATATAATATGATAGTGGTGTTGGTGGTAGATAGTGGCATGTATATAATATGATAGTGGTGTTGGTGGTAGATAGTGGCATGTATATAATATGATAGTGGTGTTGGTGGTAGATAGTGGCATGTATATAATATGATAGTGGTGTTGGTGGTAGATAGTGGCATGTATATAATATGATAGTGGTGTTGGTGGTAGATAGTGGCATGTATATAATATGATAGTGGTGTTGGTGGTAGATAGTGGCATGTATATAATATGATAGTGGTGTTGGTGGTAGATAGTGGCATGTATATAATATGATAGTGGTGTTGGTGGTAGATAGTGGCATGTATATAATATGATAGTGGTGTTGGTGGTAGATAGTGGCATGTATATAATATGATAGTGGTGTTGGTGGTAGATAGTGGCATGTATATAATATGATAGTGGTGTTGGTGGTAGATAGTGGCATGTATATAATATGATAGTGGTGTTGGTGGTAGATAGTGGCATGTATATAATATGATAGTGGTGTTGGTGGTAGATAGTGGCATGTATATAATATGATAGTGGTGTTGGTGGTAGATAGTGGCATGTATATAATATGATAGTGGTGTTGGTGGTAGATAGTGGCATGTATATAATATGATAGTGGTGTTGGTGGTAGATAGTGGCATGTATATAATATGATAGTGGTGTTGGTGGTAGATAGTGGCATGTATATAATATGATAGTGGTGTTGGTGGTAGATAGTGGCATGTATATAATATGATAGTGGTGTTGGTGGTAGATAGTGGCATGTATATAATATGATAGTGGTGTTGGTGGTAGATAGTGGCATGTATATAATATGATAGTGGTGTTGGTGGTAGATAGTGGCATGTATATAATATGATAGTGGTGTTGGTGGTAGATAGTGGCATGTATATAATATGATAGTGGTGTTGGTGGTAGATAGTGGCATGTATATAATATGATAGTGGTGTTGGTGGTAGATAGTGGCATGTATATAATATGATAGTGGTGTTGGTGGTAGATAGTGGCATGTATATAATATGATAGTGGTGTTGGTGGTAGATAGTGGCATGTATATAATATGATAGTGGTGTTGGTGGTAGATAGTGGCATGTATATAATATGATAGTGGTGTTGGTGGTAGATAGTGGCATGTATATAATATGATAGTGGTGTTGGTGGTAGATAGTGGCATGTATATAATATGATAGTGGTGTTGGTGGTAGATAGTGGCATGTATATAATATGATAGTGGTGTTGGTGGTAGATAGTGGCATGTATATAATATGATAGTGGTGTTGGTGGTAGATAGTGGCATGTATATAATATGATAGTGGTGTTGGTGGTAGATAGTGGCATGTATATAATATGATAGTGGTGTTGGTGGTAGATAGTGGCATGTATATAATATGATAGTGGTGTTGGTGGTAGATAGTGGCATGTATATAATATGATAGTGGTGTTGGTGGTAGATAGTGGCATGTATATAATATGATAGTGGTGTTGGTGGTAGATAGTGGCATGTATATAATATGATAGTGGTGTTGGTGGTAGATAGTGGCATGTATATAATATGATAGTGGTGTTGGTGGTAGATAGTGGCATGTATATAATATGATAGTGGTGTTGGTGGTAGATAGTGGCATGTATATAATATGATAGTGGTGTTGGTGGTAGATAGTGGCATGTATATAATATGATAGTGGTGTTGGTGGTAGATAGTGGCATGTATATAATATGATAGTGGTGTTGGTGGTAGATAGTGGCATGTATATAATATGATAGTGGTGTTGGTGGTAGATAGTGGCATGTATATAATATGATAGTGGTGTTGGTGGTAGATAGTGGCATGTATATAATATGATAGTGGTGTTGGTGGTAGATAGTGGCATGTATATAATATGATAGTGGTGTTGGTGGTAGATAGTGGCATGTATATAATATGATAGTGGTGTTGGTGGTAGATAGTGGCATGTATATAATATGATAGTGGTGTTGGTGGTAGATAGTGGCATGTATATAATATGATAGTGGTGTTGGTGGTAGATAGTGGCATGTATATAATATGATAGTGGTGTTGGTGGTAGATAGTGGCATGTATATAATATGATAGTGGTGTTGGTGGTAGATAGTGGCATGTATATAATATGATAGTGGTGTTGGTGGTAGATAGTGGCATGTATATAATATGATAGTGGTAGATAGTGGTAATATATAATATGTAAGTGGCATATAATGGGTTATAATGATGTTTGTAATATCTCCTATATAAGGAGTGTTATTTGGTCTTGTAAGATAAGAAATTTTGAATATAACAGAAATATATTCCTTCTTCCTCATATTTTCGGAGTTCTTCTTCCTCATATTTTCTAAGTCAATTGATTGCTGAACTTCACACTACATGTTTGCGCTATACTTAAAAACTACCCTGCCCTTCTTCCACTAACCAATTCCCTCCTCATACAGTTATTCCACTGTGTCAAATCCTTCCAAAACTGACATGCTATGTAAATTCCCACTTTATATTTCACAAAAACAGATGAAGAGAAAAACAAAAAGGATACATGAGTGAACAATCAATAATTGAAACAATTAAATGTCCTAAAGTGAAGAAGTTTAAGTGCAATATGTATAAAGAGAAAAAGAGAATTGTATTATTGATTGATTTTTATTGATATAAATTACAATGATTCATGATTCCTATATATAGAAGAGGGTGAGTGTGTAGTAGGTAAGGAGTAGGTGAAGTGGAGGTGGTAGTGGTGTAGTGGGGCACGCCTTTTGAAAGATGGGAAATTCTAACAAGTGGGTTAGGTTTAGTGGAGTAGGTTTAAGTGGGTGAAGTAGGTGGAGAGTAGGTGGATTTTAACAAGAAGTTTAAGTGCAATTTAGTGAAATGATGACAATTTAATTTTGAAACAAAAATTACAGAGAAGAAAAACCAAAAAAGTAATATTTATATGTATTTGCATGTGTAGGGGTGTGTGTGTGTGTGTATTACATAACTATATACAGTTAGATAGTATTAGGAATCAAACACATGCTAGTATTGGACCCATTTGCATCCAGACCCATGCTTCTCCAGCAAATTGCTGCAAACGACATAGGAATTGCTGATTCACAAAATTAGCTTCTTGTATCAAACATTGTGGCATATAGATATTACACATTCAGGTTATATGAAGCTACATTCAATTTTTGTTTTCTTTCTTGTATCTCCCACCGCTATAATGTAGGCTAACAAACAAACTAAAGAAGGAGAGAGGACAAATAAGGAGAGAGAGAGAGAGAGAGAGAGATTAATAATGATTAACTTCTATTTATAAATTATAATTAGATCTTAACATGCTTGGAAACACAAAGTACAAAACAGAAATCCTAAAAATACTACCCAAATCTAAATTAAACCCAAATCAGCTTCCTCCAACCTGCAACAAACATCCTATCCACGTAGTCCCTGTCATAGCCTAGAAAGGGAAAGCACAGGGAGAGAGGACATCCAAACCAAACTAAGTCTTGTGTACCAATCAAGTGGGGTCAGCTATATTTATTCTGATTAGTTAAGAGCTATATGCTTACTTAAATTAAATATATTCATTTTTTTTTTCCTGATTAGTCAAGGGCTATGTGTTTTGTGCATGTCCTCCTGTGTCATGTCTTGCATGTTTCAAAATTGTCATGTTGTCATGTATGTGCCATGTCTTGTGTCCATGTCCATGCTTCTTAGTATAGATTTCTTCCTTCTTGAGTTGAAAGTGAATCTGCGATAACAAATTTCAATTGATGACTTAGATATAAAGTTAAATTCACATCACTGCTCAAAAAAATAAAAAATAAATAAAAAAAGTTAAATTCACATCAGAGCCCATTTACTTTCACTTCTTATTTGTATGTGTTGGATTGACTCTTTGGTTCTAAAATTTCGATATTATGCCATCTTTTATGGTTTTATTTTTGTTCTTTTTCTAGGTTTCACAGTCTAAATGGAATAATTCAATTATTTTGTGCAGAGCTCGATATGAAGATGCTAAGTTTTTCTATGAGATGGACACTCGCAGAAAAATTTCAGAATTTCGAAATCAACTGAATGGGATTCTTTTTCATGTATGTATTTTCATTTTATAAGTGGTTTGCATGTTTTGCCAACGCATGAAGGGGTTGTGATTAGGTGAATTTGCACTTCTGGTTCTCATTTGATATCTAAGGGAAATAAGAGGCGATACAATGACTTAAGCGAGACATAATTATAGCTTCTTTTTTTTTATTTTTTATTTTTTAACATAAGTAATATGCCATGTCTTTGCAAAATAATTGCTGATGGTAGTGACTGGCCTATTTGTGGTTTAACATCATATGTTTTCTTGCTTAAACAAATACCCTTTGATCTCTATTAATAGCTTTATGTTGCAATAATGGGAAAATTAAACAGGAGAAGCTAGGATCAATGCTGGACAAGATGAAACGTGTTCAAAATACAGTTACCCAAATTGGCTTGGCTCTTGGTATTAGTGAAGATAAGCTGCATATTGTTGAGGAGGCTGCTTCACTGGCCATGTCAGATCTTGCTACTGCTGTTGTTACAGAATTTACTTCCCTCTCAGGGATAATGGCCCGGCATTATGCCCTTAGAGATGGCTATTCAGAGGAGGTAAACAGATACAAAACATTATATTATTTCAATTCTTATGTATGTTAATTCATGTTTACCACGGACCTTTCTTAAGCATTACCTAGTCTAACACATCAAGGTTAAGCATTAACTGGCTAGGATTAGGCAGTACTTATCCTACCTTTGCCTTGGGGATGACTCTCCTTTTTCGTCAGTGAAAGAAAATAGAAATTGCTTCGTAGCTTGAAATTTTGGCGGCTCGAGTGGCCTGAATGCCAAAACGACGTCATTTTGGCTAATTCCCCCCCCGCTTCTCTCTCTGAAACAGAGAGGCGAGAGAAAAAAGAGAGGGGGAATAGAGAGAAGAGGGAGGAAGGGAGAAGGAGGAACTCAATTGACGATCAATATAAATCCAATGATTTCAAAGGCTTTCATTGATGATCATATCCAATAAAAAGGCCTATGCAAATCCAGAAAGATGACAACAAAAGAAGAGAGGGGAAGAAAGAGAGGAGGAACAGAGAGAAGAGGGAGGAAGAGAGAAGATGAAAAGAACAGAGGGGGAACAGAGAGAGAGATATAAATAGATCTGTGTATACACACATAGGAGGGTCGCGATGGGCGATAGTGATGGCGACACCGGTGGGTGGAGGGGTTTGCGACGGTGATGGCGATGGACGACGGTGATGGCTCTCTCTCTCTCTCTGTTCTCCCCTCTTGTCTTTCTCTCTCTGTTCCTCCACCCTCTTCTCTCTTTCTTCTCTCTTCCTCCCTCTTTTCTCCTTCTTCCTCCTCTCTTTCAGAGAGAAAACAGATAGAAAAGTCGGAAAGGAAGACGAAAAGGAAAAAAAACAAAACAAAAAAGGTGCCAAAACGACGTAGTTTTGGCACCTCAAGCCATTTTAGCCACAAGTTTTCAAGCTACCTAGCGGGATTGAAGAAAATATATCAAAATGCTAACAGGATGCTAACAGATCACAAGATATGGTTTGTGGATTTTCTATGGTATTGATAAATCATGGTAACACTTGTAGCATTTTTTTCTCCTCTGTATTTCATATATGTAGAAATTTAATGTATAAAGAGAAATAGAGAATTGTATTATTGATTGATATAATGTTATTGATATCTATTACAATGATTCATGATTCCTATATATAGAAGAGGGTGAGTGTGTAGTAGGTAAGGAGTAGGTGAAGTGGAGGTGGTAGTGGTGTAGTGGGTTAGGTTTAGTGGAGTAGGTGAGGTGGTAGTGGTGTAGTGGGTTAGGTTTAGTGGAGTAGGTTTAAGTGGGTGAAGTAGGTGGAGAGTGGGTGAAGTAGTGGGTTAGGTTTAGTGGAGTAGGTTTAAGTGGGTGAAGTAGGTGGAGAGTAGGTGGATTTTACCAATATATATGTTTGATTTAGTGTATATATATAAAAAGAAAAGAAAAGATTAAAGATGGTGCCAAGGAGGCACTGCCCAAGTTAAAAGAAAAAAATAAGAGAGAGAGAGGGAGAGAGAGAGAGAGAGAGAGAGAATTAGAGGAAGAGCCTGACCAAGCCTCTAACCAAACCAGACGCAGCAATCATCACAGACCTCTCCCTTTTTCACTCTGACCTGTGGAATTCATATATGAGTCCTGTCTAGGTTGTTTATTACCATGCTGTAGTGCAGTCCTTTTTTTAACATTTTTGTTTCAATTCCTTTAGTATCTCAGCATTGTTCTTGTGTTCCACATGTTGCAGATTTCAGAGGCATTGCTTGAGATCACACTTCCGAGATTTTCTGGAGATACACTTCCAAAAACTGATGCGGGGACTATATTGGCAATTGCTGACAGGTCAAATAGAATTTACAAGTTATTTTTCATCTTATATTGCCACAAATCTACTCTTTGAGAAATTTTCCTCATTGGATAGCTAAATTTGTGTAGAGATTACTTAAAAAATTCTTCTACCTAGTGTTCCTTGATACAAATCTTGCAGTCATGCAGAATTTATTTTGTGTTTTTTTTTTTCTTTGAATAAGGTAAGGATTTTTAAAACTAAGAGCTATGTTACATGGATTGTTTTAAATGTGTGTAGCACCCATGTGTGGCACATGACACTTGTGCAAAGATGTGGGATTTGTGTCCAACATTTGCATTGAACATGTACCTAGCAAACATATTGGGCAATTCAAGTTTAATATATTACTTGTATATAGAACTCCCTTAATATGTTACCATTTGGAAGTGAAGGGGGAATTTGTAGCCAAGTCGTATTGTTTTGGCATTGTGGACTCTTCTTTCTTGTGGAAGACTATTTGGAGGCCTAGGACCCTTCAAAGGTGGTTTTTTTGGTGAATCGTCTTTCGTTGCATCATGATGTTGCCAATACTTGTGGATGGGGATGGCAACAGGTGGATATTTTGCGGGTGTCCCACTCCCCACCCTTGTCCCAGGCCCTACTTTAGGTGGGGGGTTTTCCCACCTTGCCTTGTGGCTGTCATGCCAGAATTAATTAGTCAGTTATGTCAATGTTGGCCTCGTGGATGTCATTTAAAGAGGGTGTGCAAGGCTTGGATGGTGTAACCCATGTGTTCAATATGGTTTGTATGGAGGGCAAGGTTCTGAAAAGCGGTTGCAGTCGCCGTAACGGTGGCGGTGACGCGGTTGCGGTTGCGGGGTGTAAAGGCCGTAGTGTAACGGTTGCGGTAACCGGAACCGTGAATTTTTTTATTTTTTGCACAATTTGAAAAAAACTTACCGATACGCATATTTTTTTTTTCCATGATCATATTTATTGGGTTAAAAATAAATATTGATCAATTTTTGTAAATTTTTAAGTATGATGTAATATATTTCATATTTTTAAATCATTATAAACCGAGTTTTTTACATTTTATTTTAATAATTAATGACTTTATATTATATAAAAAATCAATCATTAACTATTATATATAAGATAAATAATGACAAAAGTAAGAGAATAAATAAGAGCCTAAATATATATATATATATATACATATTTTAACCAAACCAAATAGATAATAACCACACTTATTATTATTATTATTTTCAAACAATATATAGATAGACACACACAAACAAAATGGTTTAGTGATAGCAGCTGAATAGAATAGCATAGGTCTTATAGTTTCAACAATCAATAACATGTTCTTCATCTTCCCTCTTCTCTCTCTATCTCTTGCACCTCCATTTTCTCTCTTTATCTTCTCTCTTCTCTCTATCCCTCTTTCCCCATTTTCAGCTTTTTTTTGTGTGTTTTTTCGGAAGAAACAGTTTGGAACCGTTACGTAACGGTGTGTAACAGGCTGTTACGGCTGTTACGGCACCGTTACGACCGCTACGGCAGCCGCTACGGCCGATACACCTGTGAATCTCAATCACACTGCAAAAGTGGCCGTAACGGGTGGCGGTAACCTCCAAAACCGTTACGTAACGGCGTTACGTAACGGTTGCGGCTGCTTTTTAAAACCTTGATGGGGGGAGAGGAGTTGGTGTATGTTTGAGGATGCGGAGATGATGATTAGAGGATCAAGTTAGCTTTGCTTCACTGCATACATTTTTGGCTGAGATGATGATTAGAGGATCAAGTTAGCTTTGCTTCACTGCATACATTTTTGGCTTGAAGAGAAATTTTATGGTTCCTTCTATTTTGGTGGATTTTGGGAGAATTTAGACTTGGGGATGGATGGTTTATAATTGTAAGTTTTCCTTCTATATATAATACCTGACATACCTTTAGTATTGGGTGACACGTACTTGCCATCTATTTTTATCCTATATTTATAAAAAAAAAAAACGTAGGATACATGGTTCTTTTGGGGTCAAACCTACATATAAAATATGAGTTTTATCTTCTTGATTAGTCAGTCTTTCTTTATCGTTAATCGTTATTACACCTATATTCTTTTTCATCTAGAATGGTTGATTGAATGGTTTCATATTATGTTATACGTTCTGCAGGTTAGATAGCCTTGTTGGCTTGTTTGGAGCTGGTTGCCAGCCAAGCTCCACTAATGACCCATTTGGCCTGCGGAGAATCTCTTATGGTCTTGTATGTCTTATGAGCATTAAAAACTTTTTCAATCTCATTTGATGGCATCAACATAATGGTACCTTAATTTGGTGTAGGTTCAAGTGTTGGTGGAAAACAACAGAAATTTGGATTTAAGACAAGCTTTGGAACTTGCTGCTGCTGTCCAACCCATAAAAATGGATGCCAGAGCAATTGATGATGTAATCTCCTCTCTCTTGTATTCATTTAGAAAGTTCGTAGACTGTCATATTTATATTTGAGCTGTTGAAATTTGAGCCTCTATTGAGTTGTGTCAAGCCATTTAGGTAGAGTTTTGTTCAGCGGACTGAAGTAGAATGGAATGATTATTCCATCAAAATGTCCATTACCATGTTTGGTTGACTAAAAAAATAATGAAAAATGTACTGCAAACATAATCATCGTTCACCATTGTATGGGAATGATTATTCCATAGGGGAGTTCAAGGAATGACCATTCCATTCCATCTCATTCTAGTGAACCAAATAGAGCATTAAAGAGTTTTTACATTGACTTTTCCTATTACTACTGCTACCAAGCACCATGTTCAACATCGTAATTGCATAGACATTTTACACTGCGGTAGCAGCACTACATAACCTTTCCATATTCTGTTGGATGATCAATATGTGATGCTGGGAACTTAGTCTGATTGGATTGCAACTTGTGTCTGATTAAATCTTGTTTTCTTCAATGCATCTTAATTGTATTTAACTCCGCGTAAAATATATCATATTAGACAAATACGAACACTAGATCTTGAGCCACCTTTTGAGATTTTCCTGTTTATGTATTAGGCATCATTGTCATCTACTCATTACTTCTATTTTCATAGGTACATCAATTTGTAACCCGGAGGCTAGAGCAATTTCTGGTATGTATGATTTTCTATCAAGGGTTGTTAAGACTTATGAACAACTTTGCGTTTTTTGTCAAACGGTGGTTTTCTTTTTCAAATTTTCTTTATGCAATGAATAAGGTGGATAATCACCAGGGGCGTGAAACAAAGCCCTCCATTTTAATGAATGCTTCAGATTTTGCTCTGCATATTTAAGCTCTTATGTCTGCATTAGTTTTTCAAACAGCAGCCTTAGATTGGACAGATTTGAAGTCAAGTAATTGCAACTGGGGATCTCCCAAGCAGTTTGCGGAAAATTAAAGCAAAAAAACACTTGAAATCAGGAAGAAGGGTAAAACTAGGTTCCGTGATATACCTAGTTGGTCAACCCATTTCGTGCTCCCTTATGGAGAACATCAACCTAGCCTGGATTTTTTCTTTATTTCAATTCTCATTTGTTTCCAACTTGAATGTGGGTCAACTCAAGCTTAGCTAGCCTTCTTTGCACTTGAACTCATAATGGAGTACTTCAAGCTTGCTTTTTACTCTGGTTTTGTATCTAACATCTCTCTATCTAACCATGAAGTAGACCACTTGCAAAGAGATTAGAATCATAAAAAAGTTTTTTTTTTTTTTTGGGGGGGGGGGGCGCTGAAATTCTGATAGGTGTCATTCTAATTCCGTGTCTGTGTCAATGTCTATCATGTGCCGACATGTCCATCGCTTCAATATACATAGAACACATCACAGATTTTGAAGAAAATAACTTGGGAACCTATGATTAAAATGTAAGCAATGTGGATTTATACCTATTAATTTTCTTCCTTTTTGGAATTTTAGTTTTAGGGACTCTAAAGCTTAACTTCAAGTTTGTTTGTGAATATTGCTTTTTAAGGTAGATATTAGGACTTTATTCTCACGCTTATTTCGTAACATATAGGAGTAGAAAAATATTAATGTATTTGTGGTGTAGAAAATTGAAGAAATTAGTATTTTTTTGTATATATGTTAAAACCTATCACCTACTTCACCCACTAAACCTAACCCACTACACCACTACCACCTCACCTACTCCACTAAACCTAACCCACTACACCACTACCACCTCACCTACTCCACTAAACCCATTACACCACTACCACCTCCACTTTACCTACTCCATCTACCACCTACTACCACCTACTCTTCTATATATAGGAATCATTGTAATCAACAGAATATTAATCAATATTATAAATATTTGTTATTGTGCCCTTGCATGTCTTATTTTTTGAAATTATCGTGTCAACGTGTCCATATTATGTTGTATTTGTGTCCTATGTTTATATGCTTGTTTCTTAATCAATCAGTAGTAGAAAAGTACTTGCCTTTCCTTCAGATTGGACAGCCAATGATATTTTTTTGAGCCTGACACGACCAACGTGACAAGTGCTTTTTGTCTCGTGACAGAAAGCATGTGTAATGGCAGCTTTTAATTATATTTTACAACTAGAATTATGAAATGTTGTGAGGTTATTATTCCAAGCAAGTTTTAAATAAAATAAAATAAAAGATAAATCCTAATATGTCCCTAAACATCATGGATTTTCTCCAAATTTGTGCCGATAATACATACAATTTATTCTCTCTCTTTCTCTATACATTATTTCTTACATATGTCCCTAAACATCATGGATTTTCTCCAAATTTGTGCCGATCTGTGATTTTGGTTGTCCATATGTGCCTCCTTTAGTTATTGAGCTAATAACTATTTATGTTGCTGATTGGAGCTTTGACATGCTGAGTCCGAGTTATGATGAATAATGAAAGATTACTTTAGTAAACTCCTCTGAATTTTGGTTGAATAAGAAAATATCCATATCCAAACAACCCCTAGAACAAGCATAAAGATGGCACATAATATTCTAAGATGGAAGATGAGGTGATTTTATACACATTGGCTATGTCTTGGTTACAGGTTGATAAGGGAATTAATCCTGAAGTTGTTCGTTCGACTCTTGCGGAGCGAGCAAACTGGCCTTGTTTAGCGGCAAAGTCTGCATATAAAGTAAGTAAATTGTAGTAGTTACGAGAATTTATCAACTACCGTGGATAACTGAGCTTATGAACTGATCTTGCTATTGGCGATCTGTGAGATTCTTACCATTCTCTCTCTCTCTCTCTATTTTATTTCTTTTGTTTTACTGATCCTTACTCGAGTAACCTTCTCTTTTGATTTCTTATTGGACTTATCATGTTTCCGTCATGGCAGTGTCTTTAAAATAGACGAGATAGATAAATGGTTTTTAAAATGCTGATAGACATCTCCATCTCTATTAATTTGAGGGAATAACTTCTATGATACATAAAAATTTCCTTACTCCTTCAGTAGAGCAAGTTATGACAGCTTCCAACTTTTCTTTTCTTTTTTTTTTTGGGGGGGTGGTCTAAACCTGCTCTGATACCATGTAGAAAATTTAATGTATAAAGAGAAATAGAGAATTGTATAGATATTGATTGTATTATTGATTGATGTAGATATATTACAAGATTGTGGTATAAATTACAGATGGTGAGGTACTAATTATATAGGAGAGGATTGGGGAGTAGGTGAGTGTGTGTGGTAGGTGAGTTGAGTGGAGGTGGTAGGTGATGATATATTATGGTAAATTCTAACAGATAGCATGTTAGTGGGTTAGTAAGTTAGATTACAATAAAAGGGCCGCAGTCACTCCATCAACTCAAACCTTGAACCTCTGATATTCTCTCTGTTCCAAGGGACAGTTTCCAACTTTGAACAGTTGGAATACGACACTGCCTGGAAGCATTGTGGGAATCCAGTTTCCAAATTAGGAAGATTGAAGAGAACTAGACATATTAACTAATATGTTTATTACTTGGAGAATGACATGCTTGGATTACCTGCTTAAAATTTCAAGATTTCATAGGTCTGTTCTTTTATTTTATATGGCCCTTCCGTGTCTAGTGTTTTTGCTTTCTTGGCTGACGAGATTATGAAGTCATTTTTTTTTGTTTGTTCTAACTTCTATGCTTCTTGTGAATTATTTTCTCCTATCTTGTATTTTAAAAAGCATCATAGAAGAGAGTTAAGGCTAGAAACAACCAGCAGGCTTTTGTTCCACCAATTTTCTTGTGAATTATTTTCTCCTATCTTGTATTTTAAAAAGCATCATAGAAGAGAGTTAAAATGAAGAAAATTGGTGGAACAAAAGCCTGCTGGTTGTTTCTAGCCAATATCTTTGTGTTTGCATGGACACTTAGGATGTGTTTGGATCATGGATTTGGATAGGGATTTGGAAACAAAAAGGAAATGGAGAAAAATTTAGTTTATACTTCATTCTCATTTATCTCACCTTTTTCCTTTTCCTTTCCAAATTCCTACCCAAATCCATGATCCAAACACATCATTAGCATGTGTTTAGAAAAGGGGAGGGATTCTCCATTCTCCTCACCTTTTCCTTTCTCTTTCCAAATCCCTACCCAAATTCATTTTCCGCTCACCTTTTCCTTTTCCTTTTCAAATCCCTACCAAAATTCATGATCTGAGCACAGCGTTACAGATACAGTACTTCTGTTGAGGTTATACATTTTTTGTCCGAAGATAAAGAGTTTTTCTTATTTTTTTAAATGGCATTGTTTCATATTGTTTTCTAGAGGCTTTTAAAAATTCATGTGGTGTGTCAATTTTGCATGCTAAAGTGGAAATTAATGCACTCATTTTGACTCTGATTTTCTTTCTTTCCATAGTTCTCTATTGCAAAAAGGATATTAAGAGATTTTATCTTTCAATTTGATTGTGCTTATGGATGTATCAATTTATAATGCCATATAAGTAATTGTCTGCAGATGGATGCCTTATCAAGGGGTGAGCTTCTGCCAAAAGTTGTTGAAGCATATTCTCGTCCAACAAGAATTGTTCGAGGAAAGGATGTGAATGTTGATATGGAGGTGCTCTTCTTATTTATTTGATTAATTATTTTTTGGGGGTATAGTTTTATTGTTAAGCGCTCGAACTGATGTTTATAAATGGCCCCCAGCTAATCTTCTTTCTTGATATCTAAAATTTAATATACAGTGTTTGTCAATGATATGCTGTAGCAAGTTCAAATCAACTAAACATGTTGTGGTAAAAGGTTTTTTCAAAATTTCAAAAAACAAAAAGAGAAAGAGAAAGAAATTCACTTCATGAGCTGTTGTTTTCAGCAAATCGAGATAGTCTTTTTCTCTATTTTTATTTTTAATGCTTTTCTGACAAATTTTACATATCAGTCACATGTATCTGAAAACTAATAAATACACTGTTCAAGGTACTCAAATATGAAGCACCATATCATCGAAGGGCTTTGAATGTGATAGACCTTCACCATATCAATGTTAGTGTTAGGACTAGCATTAGGTTGGCAATTTCATAATTTGTATGTGTAGCCTTAGGTAGAACCCAAACTACTATTATAATGTAGTTTTACATTTGGTTCCTTACATTATTAATCACTGGGTATGTTTAAAAGAGTTTGGTAGCACATTAATAAAGGTCTTGGAACCTTTTTTTCTTGTAAAATGCTTTCCATCTTTATTACAATTGCTTGTCCACCAAATGATAATAATAATCAATGTCACATGGACTTGGGTAAGAGTGTAGGGTCGAGTGCATATTTAGAGGACGGACCCAACAAATCTCAAATTTAAGGGTACTTGACTGGGCAAAAAGGATTGTAATTTTATATTTTAAATCTATTATGTGATATAAAATTGTGTTATCTGTAACATACAGTCGAAAAAGCATTTTACTTATTGCAATTATACAACATATACATATAATGATACTATTAATTACAAATATATAAGAAGTATCTAATAAAAAGTATTGGACACATATCCCGCACCCTTGTCCAAGTGTTGGATATTCGACACAGGTTTTTGATTTATTTTGAAGAATCCATATAACATAGATAATAATAACAAAATAATTTGATCACTCTGTTTGCCTATATATCGGATGTAATTAAACATTCTCTGGTATCTATATTATGTGTGGTTCCTTTTTTATCATGATCAATATTTATCTTTTGCTCTTACACCACCCTCAAATAATCTTAACAGGTGGATGAAACCGCATTTGAAACAGATGAAGAGAGAGCTTTGTGGAGCACTTTCTTGTCATTAAGAAGCAGAATTCATCCTGGTACCCATAATTATATGTCCACCATAGTTTGGGGAGCCTCTGTTTCCACGCAACTTTTTCACAAACGCACCATTTTTCATTCAGAAGTTGATTTCTAAACAAAACTACATGGTTTGGAAATCAACTTTCGAACGAAAATTGATGGTTGAAAAATCAACTTCCAAACCAAAGATGTAGCCAAATCATAAGATTTTGTTCAGAAGTTGATTTTCACACCATGTGATTTTGTTCGGAAGTTAATATCTGAACAAAAAAAAGTGTGCAAACTGAGATAAGGTGGTGTGCAGAAATAGAAGGTCCTCATAGTTTGTTTATTGGTTCATAAATTTGCAGAGCATGATGCTTTTTGAATTTTATGATAAATTGATTTTTTTGCTTGGGTGCTTGTTTTTCTTTATTCTGTACTGGTCATATTTCAACAATATTTGGTAAACTTGCCCTTTTGTTAACGGTTTTGTCTGCTCTATAGGTATCGAGGTTGAGGATTTTGTTGAAACATCTGTTCAACTATCACAACCACTAGAGGACTTCTTTAATAATGTCTTCGTGATGGTGGTATGTTCTTTCACATCTTTACTGCTGAATGGAAAACTATTCTTTGCTTTACATGCCCAAATACTTACCCTGTAATCCAGAAGGACTTGTAGGTTTTAGTTTGAAGGTGAATAATCGTTTTAAAATTATAATAGTCCCTAACGTACGATGGTTATGTCCAATTCTGTGACCTAGACTTTTTCTATCACTCATCCCGTGCTGCTAGTTTTTTTCATTTGAGGCTGCTTACGAAATGATTAATACAAAGTAGAGGACGTGGAACAAGAAAATTGCACTTGTACACTTTGTGCTTAGTGAACAAGAAATATTTTCTACATACAAATTTAAAGAACTTTTTCATTATTAATCAGTGGCATTTTTCTTTTACCCAAAACTGACATGATGCGCTGGCCTTTATTATATTCATTAAATTTGAGACGATTAGGTGCATATTCTATTTTATTACCAAATAAACCCTTGTTTTTTATTGATATTTTTTCCTTCGAACGACATTGTTTAGACTTTGTGAATCCCCTTTGAGACCTGGTTTATTATTGATATTTTTTCTTTCAAACGACATTATTTTAATTTTGTCAGCAAATTCCTTTTGACACTTCCCAGGTCACCACCACAAATTATGGATAATAATAATAATAATAATCATAATAATAATAATAATAATACAGTTCAACCCATTTTCTGTAATGTTTATTTTAAAGTTGGCGAAGTCAGGTTCTAGTACTTGATAAAATTATTGGTTCTTGGGTGAGGAATTTTTGTGGGTTGAATGTGTAAAAGTTATCTTGATTTTAATCTGTAAATGTTATCTTTCTCGAGTAATGAAACATGAAATGTATGAAGAGTTTATTACATTAACTTTGTTGAACCTCATACTTTTCTGTGTAAACTCTTCAATGTGCAGGAAGATGAAAAAATAAGAAAGAATCGGCTTTCTCTACTCAAGAAAATTGCAGACCTTCCTAAAGGGATAGCAGACCTCTCGGTTTTGCCTGGTTTTTAAATTTCTTCGTCTTCGTGTATAGCTTAGCCAGAGAATTTGGTGGCATTGTTTTAGAAGTGAGAAATGAGGAAAATAAGTTTAAAGGAAGTGAGTCTTATTTTACTCGACACGTTCAGATATGATATTAAAGACTCTTTTCAAGTTTGTTTTTTGGGTCGTCATAGCCTGGTACAAATTCTCAAGTTTGTTTTTTGGGTGGTCATAGCCTGGTACAAATTCTCTCAAGTAAATTTTGTAGCATTTGTTGTGATGTATAATATACTTATAATCTTCTTTTATTTAGTAAATTGATGATCGTATTGTTAACTCTGCTTATTTATTTGTAGATTTTGCACATCGGAATAATTAATTTACGCGACTTGGGTTAGGGGGACAAAAACTTTGGATCATAAGTAAAGTTGCTATTTTATTTTAGGATAAATTATAAATAAGTAAACTTTAGGTAATACTAGAGATATTAAATTTTTTACTAAATAAATGATCAAATGTTTTATATAGGTGTGGGGTTCGCGATTTTGTGGACTCCACACTCATGTTTGGTCATTTATTTGGTAGAAAATTTGAGACTTATAACATTTTCTTTGTTTAAAATACAAATTTCCTCCTATGATTTTAGAAATTATATTTCGTTCTTTCAAATTTCTAATCGTATAATAAATGATCATTTCAATTAATAAATTATTAAGTCAATTAATTATTTTTAATGATATCAAATATATATATATATATATATATATGTATATCAATTAACAACGTTGATATTTTTATTGTTGCATATTAAAGCAATTCTTATTGTTTCTTCTATTAATTTTGGTAAAGAAAAAATTTTGATAATGAAATATTAGTAATTCTCAGAATTACATGGGACAATTTATTCTTTAAGTAAATGTGAAGAGGTGCATTTGTAATTTATTTATTTTATGAGAACTGTTATCAATACTTATCGATTTTCTTAGGACTCCATTTCTTTTTTTTTTTTCTTTTTTTTCTAATTCTAATTTTGTCCAAACCTAAAATATCATTCCTAATCCTAATCCTAATTCTACCTATTTCCACCATCTCTGTCGGCGGCCTTTTAGTTACTTCCGGTACCTCTCCGATCACCATCACGCAACCCTACGCCGCCATAGCATCATCTCTTCGTTGTCTTATTGTTACCATCACCACTGTCACAATCACCATTTTTAGAATCCCTCACCGCCACACCCAAGTCTGGATCTTCTCCAGCCAACCTCTCCAGCCGCTCCTCCTGTCAAGGCCAGGATTTGACCACATCACTTTGGCTGGAGAGGACAGCTCAGATCAAGTTTGGTTAAAAAAAAAAAATTTCATTCAACACAGCAACAGAGCTTCTGGCTTGCAGAGCTACTTCGGCATCCTATTCGGCTGGCAATTCTAGCACCCTCTCAGCCTCTCCCTCCTTCCTCTTCTCCTCTATTTCACCTCATCTCTTTCTCTCTCTTCAAACCCACAAACCCTCTCTAATCTCTCTAATCTGCAATCGATTAGAGAGATCGAAAATGCCAAAATTTCTTTTTAAGGAATGAAGATGAAAATGCTTTGATTTTCTTGAAGCCGTGCATGTCGATGATCTCCCAGACATTACAAGAGCATTGAAACCCAAATCGTGAAACCCAGATTGTTGAACCATGAACATGGAAACCTATATCATTGAACCCATCTTTGAATTGGTTGAGCATCGATTAAGCTTTGAACTGATTGGGTTGAGCTTTAATTAATCTCTGATTGACCTTCGATTCAAATTTGAATCTAGATTTGTTCCACTGCTGCAAATCGTTGTCACCGCTTCGGAAAGAGAAGCAAGAATGGTAGGGAAACTTCTGCTCGGTGATGGTAGGTCGATGTCGGCATCGGCATCGACAGTGTTCCTGTAGAGAGAGAGGAGAGTTTTGGGAGAGAGGGAGAGAGAGAGAGAGAGAGATAAGAGTTTGACAGAAGGAAGTGCTAGAGATGGTTTGGCCGGCCGAATGGGATGCCGAAGTAGCTCTGCAAGCTGGAAGCTCGGTTGCTGTGTTGAATGAAAAAAAAAAAAACCGTCCTCTCCAGCGAAAGTGACGTGGCCAAATCCTAGCCCTTGAAAAGAGGAACGGCTGGAGAGGATCTAGATTCTTCCACACCCACCACGGCCTCTACTGTCTTGTCAGCCTTGTCCTAGGGTTCAGATTCTCTTGCCTTATCTTCTTTCTTCTCTTCTCCACCTTTACCACTACCACCAACACCAACAACAATCTCTCCCCTATTGATGTCCTAACTATTTAGACTACACTTTCTTCTTTTTCATCATCGCTATTGAATGGAATCATCGTGATTTCGAGTAGTAGAGTGGTGGTTGGATGACACGAGATCTTGATTTGGCCATGGCCACATCCGAATCCAGTGGAGGTCATGAAAGCTCATCGGATAATCGAGGGAGTTCAGACAGAATAGTGGCTTCAATACGGAATCAAAGACCCTAGAACTGTGATTGCTACCACTTCCGCTACCACTTCCACCTATGTTCGAACTTTCCAGATTCTTTATCTAATTGGATTGATGCATTCTTTAATGAATTTGCCTTTTGATCTCATCTGAGTTATTGTTAAAGTTGGCGAAAGAACCAACGAGACTGCTTCGTTACTTGCCAAGTTTGGGTTGGAGGATGGACAATAGTTGAGAAGATGGGCTATGGAGGTGGACGATGGCAGTGGGTTGGTCGCCGGAGATGAAGATGGCGGAAGAGGGTATGGTCGGAGTTGGGAGGGTGAGTTAGGGAGAGGGTATAGTTAGAATTAAAATGGGGGTTGAAAGAGAAAATGGAAGGGACTTATTTTGTTAAGTAGGGGTTTAAAGAAGTAGGGGGTCCTAAGAAAATAAATAGGTGCTAACAGCATTCCTCTTTTTTATTTGTAATGTTCTTTTTTGTCTATTAAAATTGAACATTAAGATGGTATTTGATAAAGTTAGAAAATTGAACACTGAAATTAAGTATTAAAAATTGAATGTTGAATTTTTTAAGTTAAAAAGTTATTTGATAAAAATTTAAACACTGAACTAAAAAGAAATTTTTTTTTTCGAACGAAAAAAAAAAATGTTTGATATGTATAAGATAAATTTGAAAATTATTATTTTCAAATTATATATTTCAATTTTTATATTATGATGGTGGTGGCGGTGATGGTATGATGTGGTGGTGGTGGTAGCGGTAGTAAAATGATGGTGGTATTTATGAAAACAATAACAATGGTAATGAAGGTAGCGGTAGTAATAGTGGTGGTGGTGGCGACGGCGATGGTAATAGTGGTGGTGGTAGCGATAGCAATGGTGGTGACGGTGGTATGGTTGTGGTTGTGGTTGTGGAGGGATGATAGTAGTGGTGGCGGCGGCGACGGTGGCGATGGCGGTGGCGGTGGCAGTAGCATGGTAGTAATGGTGAGTTTATAATAGTACATATCGATACTTATGTTTAGTATTTATAAATTTAGTCAGAATTAAGTAAGTTTCATATGACTTAATTTTTTTTTAAAATTTTAGCCTATATTTCAATATGCATTTAAATTTTTAAGTGATATTAATTGTGGTTATCAAACGGGCATAATTTTTTTTTTTTTGAACATACCAGGTGTAGCTAGCCTTTTCGTGCCCCCTTTCGGAAGGTTTAAAAGAAAGCTCTACAGTTCGGACTCCCGCGGTTCTCCCGCGGTTTTGAATCTAATTTCACAAGTGCAATGTGAAATTGATAAATACCAAAGAGTCCAAATCCGGCAAATTGTTTTGAAAAATTGATTTTGGGATAAAAAATGTCAAAATTGGACTGCTTTGCTAGATATAAAGTCGCCACCTAAATATTTTTTTGAAAAAATTTAGGAAACCCATGACTCCTGCCAAAAGTCATGTGTCCGTCATCACCAAAGTTGTCCCGGCTCGGAAACTTAGGTATGAGAGGGGAAGATCATGAATTGAGCACCCCCGCTCGCTCGATCAAAGATCAGCCTCTACTAATCATGATATGATTTTTTTATAAACATTATGTGTTCTTGTTTCGGTTATTAAGCTAGCTTTACTATGTGATGCGCACAAACAAGTATAGACTAGTTTGCTCAATTTGGAACAATTCAACTCATGTTTGTTTGCGAAAAATGGTTTGAATTTGCACCTCAAGTGGGCTTAAAGTTGCGGATTTGCCACTAAACATAATGAGCTTAAAACATGATTTGCCACTCAACAAAGTGGGCGTAAAACATACATTTGTTGAATCATTCCAATTAAGACAACAAGCCTTTGTCCACAGGCATTTATGCAGTTTAGCATTTAAGCACATAGCCTCATGACTAGCATGCTAATCATGGCAACATTCACACTTATGTAAGTATGCTAAAGCGTAAAAACCCACCGAGTACTCCAAGACAAAACAGAAACTAGTTAGAAAGATGCATGATCCTAACTATACAAAATGTCTAATGCAACGCATGTGAATAATGCAATTAATAGGCTCGGCTACTAATACGACATATGAAGCAATTTGAACAACATGTGATTAAACACGTATTCAAAAAAGATATTGAAATAACGATGCAGTTTGAATGATGCGCCGAGTCTCGGTGCATGCAATACAAATGAATGAATGCAAGCATAAGGTATGATAATTGAAATATGTCCCTAACCTAACCATCAAAAGTAATTAAATAAAAAGGAGAAAGACGCGGGGTTGGAAGACATATACACACGCACGCACACTTATTACAACATTACACCATCGTGAAAGAGGGTTTGAATGAATAAAAGGTAACTGTAGCTCGACTTTTTTGCGCCCCCTTTCAGAAGTCGAAATAAGTCCTACAGTATTGGACTCTCGCGGTTTTGACTATAATTCCACAAGTACAATGTGAAATACATAAACACTAAAGAGTCCAAATTCGTCGAATCTTTTGGAAAATCGATTTTGAATCAAATTGCCAATAATAGACTGCTTTGTCAGATATAGAGTCGCCACCTAAATGTTTTATTTTGGGGATATTTAGGAAACCCATGACTCATGTCAAAGGCCACGTGTCCGTCATCAGCAAGATTGTCTCGGCTCGGGAACTTAGGTACGAGAGGGAAAGGTCATGAATTGAGCACCCCCGCTCGCCCGATCAAAGATCGGCCTCTACTAATCATGATACGAATCTTACTTTGCATTATATGTTCTTGTCTCGGTTATTAATCTAGCATTACTATGTGATGCGCAAATACAAGTATAGATTAACTTGCAAAAAATTAGAACACTTGAATCATGTTTGTTTTCTGAAAAGAGTTTGAATTTGCCACTTGAAAAGTGGG